TTACCTGTTAGTATCAGAAGATCAACCTTTGGTGCTAAATAAAAACACACATAAGAAAGCCTGACATCAATGTAGACAAGAAAACCAGAAATGTTGAGCAGTTCAAGAGACATGACCCCATTTTTAAACTGTATTTTGATGAATTAAGTGAATTTGAACAATATGAAATTAATTAATAAGTTTTTGACCAATGGCCAAAGAATACCAAGGTGCTGAGAAGCAAGAAGGCATTTGGAAATTGTTCAGGTACATAGAAGTGTTGAAGACCACTGATGTAATTATCTTGACAAAATTCAGTGGCTGTTAAATGTAACTGGGGTTAAGGGACCTCACCTAACTCTGAAGAAATTCTCAGAATTTGCTTTTCCTTTTTGCTATCTCAGCACAGGCCTTGCATCCAGTCACTTGTGAAAGGCTCTGTTGTTTGTTACCGTCGCATCAGCTTCACTTTAAGCACGACTCTTTCAGGTGTTTTCCTTGTTTATTTCTTTTTTCCCTTTTCTTTTTCTGTTGAAAAGCTTGATTTCAAAAACTTCTCTGACTTTAAGTTGTTGAATTTAGTGACACAGGGGGACTAAACTTATTCACAGTAGCTGATGGTCATGATCCACTGTGATCATATTCGGACTAAAAGGGGCAAGACCTCCACATGATTGCTAAGACACTTTACAGGATTTCTTTACACTCTTTTTCTTCTCACAGGCTGATTTTTCTCTAGAAAAAATAAGTCTATATGTAGACAAAGAACATTACATTTTCAGGAAATAAATCAGAAAGCCTTAAAACCGACTCGTTTACTTATTCCATTGTGATTAGAGAGATTTATTCCACTGTCTCCATCCCGATTATTAGCCAATCTTCATCATTAACCGAAGTTCCTAATACAAAAACCTAATGCAAACAAGTTACTTAAAATATTGGCATAAAGGTATCCATGAAGACACATATGCCTAAAACTCTCTCCTGCAGAAAAAAGGCATATTAACAGTACAGCTTACTCCATTGAGTAATGTAGATGTACTTCACATGTTTTGAGGAGAACCCATGAATTACTGAGCAGGGATAGAAAACTCATGGAAGTCAGACATGAAATATAAGATTTATACTCTCTAAGTCAAAAAACTTGATAAAGTTGACTTCATGCTTCCTCTGTATTTGTGCAGGTCATGCACTGGTTCTGTACTACTGGAAGGGTGATTCTACTGAGAAAGGTTATGCAGCAAAGAAACATCAGGAACTTGTGAGCCTACATAAGTGCAGGATTACATCAGCTGGATAATTTGATAAAAGATCTTTATTATTAACTCTTGGATCATCTTCCCTTTGTTTTTCCAGGCCATCTCGAAGTGCAGGTTTGAGAATATTACTGATATTTGTTAGCATAAGCCATTTTCTTGAAGCTTTCATAATGCAACATGTCTATACACCTCATGGACACTAGCATGCTCTTAGTGTACTCTCAGTGTTTTCTATAAATGGCTAATTTAATTGCATATTTTTCAACCACAGAATTCCATAGGATCAAATTCAATATTCCTGCCTTTGTGATGACTATATTTTAAAGATTCCCTAGGCAGAACTGAAGATTTAGCTTTTATTCCAATGTTAATGCTACATCAAATGAAGAAATTAACATATTTTTTTAGTTAGTCAATTTTACACATGAAAAAAATTGAAGGAGTGAAAACCTTTTTTTCAATAGCTTTTTATTCATAATATTAAAAATGATTGCTATTGCTGATTGACAAGATAGGAAGTTATACAATAAAATTAAATGTAAAATGTTGGAAGGATTGTGATACACCATAATCCAAACACTATTGATAACATCTAGTAATTGCTGCTTCTAGCTTTACACTTTGGACAGGTCAAGGTGCTTGCAACTTAGGCTGTGACTTTATCACATAGAGCTGAGTCTCTTGCATACACCAAGAATCTCCAAGCTTGTCACAGCCTCTTTGTGTTCCCATGAATGAAGTTCTTTACTGTTAGGGTGGTGAGGCACTGGAATGGGTTGCCCAGGGAAGTTGTGAATGCTCCATCCCTGGCAGTGTTGACAGAGCCTTGGGTGACATGGTTTAGTGTGAGGTGTCCCTGCCCATAGCAGGGGGGTTGGAACTGGATGATCTTAAGGTCCTTTCCAACCCTAACTATTCTATGATTCTATGAATACCTGTAACAAATATCAATGATTATATCAAAGATCTACACATCTTCTAGCCCTGAAAATTCAGTAGATCATATTCTGCCAAAGAGATATTGTGAATAAGGAAAGAAAACCAAAGTCTGAGCTAAACATTTTTATCAAGCCTTGTGAAGGAAAAGGTGCTCATTAAGTCAGATGATCACATTTGCTGTTTTATAGGAAAGGGAATTAGAAAGAGGAAACCTCATCATTCAGTGAAAATAGAAGTGTCATCTGCATATAAATGCATAAGGCTTTCCACAGCCATCAGCCAGGTTTATAATAAGTAGAAAAGTGTGGTATGAGATATAACACTGTTTCTGGCAATACAGATAATCAAATGGGTTTGGGGAAAGAATTATCTCATAGTAAAGGTCTGCAAGGTGAGTGCATCTGTGGGGATGGAAAAGGAGAGATACTAGACTGGGACAAAAAGTGAGTAGGAGGACACCACATTGAGAGGCAGTGAGAATGAAAGCTTGAATACTCTGCCTTATATACTACTATTTGTCATATAATAGAGGAGATCTGACTTTCCTTTGGGGGGATGATTCTGGAAACAACAACAGAGGTTGCTGAGTGGGAAAAATCAGCAAGAGATTTTGCTGCTGCTGTTTCCCCATGAACAGTGTCAGATCTGCTCTCTGAGTTGGGCCAACAACGTTTCATAGAATCATAGGAAAGGACCTTAAGATCATCAAGTTCCAACCCCCCTGCCATGGGCAGGGACACCTCGCACTAAACCATGTCACACAAGTACTCGTCCAACAGGGCCTTGAACACTGCCAGGGATGGAGCATCCACAGCCTCCCTGGGCAACCCATTCCAGTGCCTCACCACCCTAACAGGAAAGAATTTCCTCCTTATATCCAATCTAAACTTCACCAGTTTAAGTTTTAACCCATTTCTGATCTAACTATGAATTTCTAAGGGAGGCTGATCTGGGATTATGGAGAGCTTGAATCCATTTGTTTGTATGGACTTGGACAAGCTATTTACTCCCTGGGCACTGATTTCCTTGTCAAGGGAAGTACAATTCCTTCACTTTATAGGAGTTCTTTATTTAGCTAGTAGTCTTCTTGGTACACAAACAATCTCAAGGGTGTTATAGCTTTGATATAGTTGGGTCATCTACATATACACATACATGTCAGTGAAACAAGAATAGTCTTAGAAGTAGGTTAAGCTAAAAGACTTTTAAGTCAGGCTGATGACACAGACTTTTCCTTTCTCTCAAAACCCAACAGAACTGTGGATTCATGTAGCACCTTAATCAGTATTAAAACTCCTCACTGCATTCAGTGGAATGGTAATTTTTCCTTTGGTGAAAAGGAAAGTAAGGATGTTTTTGGGTAGGGAAAACTGTGTGTGTGCTAGCTCTGTCTTGGATTTATGGAAGTAGGTGGGCAAGGTATCCCAGGAATGAACAGTGGAAGGATTTAAAAGCTGAGTTAAGTCTAAATTTTTGAGAAATGGTGAAGCATTGGGAAAAGATCTTGGCAAAAGTGGCCTGGAGTGGATTATTAAGATTGCTGGAGGACACTAAAATATTATCATGAAAGGGCAAGAAACACTCCAAATCCCTGACCACTGGGTTTATCTAGTTATATAAAAATCATATAATTAAAAGAAAAAAAAAAGGGCAAAAACCCCCCCAAAACAACCAAAACCCCAGTATATTGATAGGTTGATTCAATTTATCCAGTGGCTTTGAACTTTCAGGTTGCAGATGGTTCACATTTTCAAACCTTTCTGTCCTATTACATAGATTGTTGTCTTTCATTGCTTAAGAGTTAATCCTAGAGCTGCAGCTTTAAGGAAAACATTGAAAATCACTGAGGAGAGAATCATCATGGAGGTAGATCTTACGCTCAAGCTTGGCAGCTTAGCAGTTGTCTGACATTTGCTTTCAGGCTCTTAGATTGCACAGGATTTATGTTCTTTGCCTCTCTTTGACCCATCTCCACAGATGGGATGCCGAAATAGAAACAGTGCTTTGTATATAATATTTTGCAGAGCTTTTCCCACTTCTCCAGGGTTTCCTCCTCCTGTCAGAGGACTATTTCTTTTCTTTTTTTTTCAACCATATATAAGAAGGGAGAAATGTAAAATAATTTCGTGTCCAAGAGTATGCGTATCACTTCTTTGCAGTTACATTTCTGGCAATGGTCATGAATGCCTGGCATCATTATTCGTTCCTTGAAGGATTTGGCTTATCTGCAAGAGGCAAAACTCACCCCTTTCAATTTCATATTGTTTATTCCGACAGGCAGATACACCATAAACAATTTATCAGGAGGAATCAACTGGGGAATGGGAAAGGAAGGCGAAGCCTGGAAGTCCAAGGGACATATTTCTGTAGCAATTAAACTCATGCAAAGAAAATTACTGTCACCCAAAGGATTACAATTAGCAGTGTTTACCCAGCTCATTCAAATAGTTAAGCCAGACTGCTAGTAACCACACTGGACAGTAATTGCCACTGTAATGGAGCTACTTCTGGTGGGTGACAAAACAGCACTGTGACAGAGAATAGGGGGATAAAGGAATGATTAAACAGATTAGGTCAAAAGTAAGTGCCACATGTGAAAGGAAGTGAATGTGGGTGTTATAGCCAGAGTCTCAGAGGTGTAGGTGATCTTTTCCTTCCTGATACTCTCTATTCTTATACTTCTTGCTTCCCATTCTGGCGGCTGGTTTTGAGCAGACTTGTAAAATAAGGTAAGGTCAAGTAAAGTAAAGTAAAATAAAGTAAAAAAGTAAAGTAAGTTAAAGTAGTGAGTTACCTCTGAGGCTGATTAAACACTGCAATAATCCCTGATTCTTTGTTTTCATAAGTCAGTCACACATTACCATGAGCAATGAGAACTTTCTTGCCCCTCCTCATTGATATTCCCTAAAGGCTCTGTAAGTATGTGTGGGCTGTGTCTTCATAGCCATAACTATATTCCGCCAGCCTTCACTGACAATGTTATTGACAAATGTCTTTGTGACATCATAGCTACCTAAATTAATAGCAGCAAATGTGTCAATTAATCTAAGAATACAGAGAATAACCCCTCTTCCTTTTCAAATGATACTAAGACAAAGACAGGCAGAGTCATTTATCAGCCATTTCTCCTTAATTTGACACATCTTCAGTGAGAAATGCTTGGTTGATTAAAAAGGACAGTCATTCATATTAACTATGGGAGATAAGACTATCAACACTCAGTTGAACATTTAAAGCTTTAGGAAGCAGCTCCGTAAAAGGGATTTCTAAAGGAGTTTCTGTCACAGATGGCTCTATAAAGTGAGGTTGCCTGACTTTTCTCTTACAAGATATCAAAATCCTCCTTTACTCCAAGACCCACTGGTTCAAGATGAGGAGGTGAGCCCTGCTGGTCCTTCAGCACAGAGCAGAGAAGTCTGCAGATCCTCCCATCAGAAACAGTCATGTAGGACAGTGTTCAAGCAGAGGACTGTGTGCCCTTGAGATCTTTGCTTCTGCAGAGAAAGATAAGAGAACCACAGGTGGCAAACTGCATTAAAAGAACACAAAACCACTCATTTAAAAGTCAGAATTACATTTGCAAGTACAACCTCCATTCCATGACACATACATATGTTTTAAAATTAATTAAACAGAATCACATTGTCTCACTTCCAGAAAAATGAGAGTCACCTGGCATATAAAATCTAAGCCCTAGAAGTTCAGCAAGGTCAGAATTACCTGGAAGCATGACCTTATTATGGGAAACATGAGGTAAAGAACATGCAGTAAAGAAACTACCACCTACAGCTATTAAAAATACATGGAGTGTTGTCTCCCTTCAGAACATTGCCACTGATGTTTTTCAATTACAGTGATGTGAATTTTAATCAGATTGAAATATGGCTGCATAATTAGCTATAGGGACATTTGACTGACGTAGCAACATCAGCAGAGGAGGAAAATATCCAGCTATTATATCTATAATGCTATGATAATGAACAATTAGAAACAGCAATGTGTTATCTACGTTGTAATTGCTCTTTGTAGTGCTCAGAGAGGTTTGATGGGGGTTGTGGTTTTTGCTCATATTTTTACACAAAGCGCATTTACAGCAACAGAAAATGTTATGTTGGCTTTTGTGGGCTTTGGGTGAAGTCCTTCTTGGATAAAGGGAAAGAGAAGCAGAGAAACCAAGGTAGGAATTGCAGTATCTTCAGAATAGGAACAAATCAGAGACTCGTTGTGTGTCTGTCATTTAAATTCATTCTACTTTCTAGCCAACTCACACAGTTCTGAGACATGGCACGTGTGGAAGGTCCTGAATGTGCTGGGCTGTGCTGATATTTCTGTGTTACCACTATCTTCATCTTCTGTACCGCTATCTTTGGCAGGGATATTTATAAAATGAAACCAGTTCTTTACCCAAAACACTATGGAGGCAAGAGTCTGTAGAGTCATCAGCTGGCATTTGGAATAGTTCGAGCTGAAAGGGGCCCTTTAAGCTGCTGTTGAAGAAAGAATGGAGCTCACGCTAAGCTCTGTAATCTGTTGTAAGGTTATGGTAACCTTAAAGCAGAAGCAATCACTATGGATATACCAGATGATGAGATAAGAGGGAACAAATTGCTCACTGGAGAAGATAGTCCTATTATGTAGTTTATTGCCATGCCCAGTCCCAGCATAGGTCCTGTGAAACATGATTTCCAGAGGGAGTGGATGAGCTTGTGGTTTAACTCCTGTTGGGATAGCAGGTGTGCAGGCACTCTAGGAACGAAGAGACTGTTCAATTTGCTGCAACAAGAGCTGCCTGAACTCACTTGAAGGAAAAATGTTGACTTTCTATGAGCAGATTCAGGAGGTGAGGCTGATCCAGAGAACTTCCCTTAAGAAGTGTCTTGGGATGCTTCAGTTAAATATGTTGCCAATTTTGTTCATTCATACCTACCAATTCACACTATTTAGATTCTGGGTCTGCAAGCATACATTTTTCATATTTTCTTGTAATAATAGATAAATAATTTTTAGTAAAAATGAATAATACCATCAATTAATTGCCAGAATGAGCTATTGATTACCCTTTTCCTGTAGGATATGTTGAGCCCTTTTCTGTTAACCTATTAAACTTAATGTTGCAATTAAAGTTCCTTGAGTTGGAATTATCAATGTTTTAAAAATACCTCCTTATCTGTATCATGAAGAACTGTGAGTATCCAAACATCTCTGCGTTTATATTTTATCTACGCTGCTCTCAGGTCAATTCATTAGCTGACAGAAATCCATCCAGATAAAATATCGGCATCTATCTGTATACTTCGGGTCTGTTCAACCACCTCACTCTATTATCCCAATTTTTAAAGCTGGCCAGCTAAGTGTGTCATCTGTATTGCAGTGACACATCCTATAATCAGTAGAAAGTAAAACAAATCTCCCGTAACATAGCAGCTCAGTCATCCTGTGACAAGAAACAAAATGAATGTATGTACCATTTTTCTTTACTTGTTCGTGGTGGATAATTGCTTATTTGTAATTTCCCCATCACGTGTGTTAGGATGTGTTAAGTAGTAAGAGTAGGTATACTGAATTGATTACCTCTTTTAATTAAATGTTGGGATTTGGGTACCAGTATGATGAGTTTTTAATTTTATGATGTAGGAGGAGCAAAGTATCAATAATTGTTGGAATAATGAATTAACTAAATGCCTTTAATCTCAATAGAATGCTCATAGAGAAAAAAAGCAGAGTAGACTTATAATAACACCAGAGAAGAACATTTGTTGCAGTCAGGGTTGTCACAGGCCATTAGACCTTACTCAGTCAAAGTCATGTCTATATTGTATAATTAACAATCTTATCTACCGTAAGGTCTTAGCATTAAGGTTTGCCTTCTGCTTGGGCAAACAGTTCCACAAGAATGCTGCTCCTGCCTTAAAATACTGTGTTAAGCTCTGGGGCCCACAACACAGGAGTGATGTGGACCTGCTTGTGCAAGTGCAGATGAGGTCGAAGAGATGCCCTGAGGGCTGGAGCAGCTCTGCTCTGGAGCCAGGTTGAGAGAGCTGGGCTTGTTCAGCCTGGAGAAGAGAAGGCTCCTAAAAGGGAGACCTTAGAGCAGCTCCAGTGCTCAAAGGGGGCTGCCAAGAAATTTGGAGAGGGCTGTAGTGACAGAACAAGAGGGAACGGCTTTAAGCTGAGAAAGAGTAGATTTAAATTAGATATTGGGAAAAAAGTCTTCCCTGTGAGGATGCTGAAGCACTGGCACAGGGTGCCCAGAGAAGCTGTGGCTGCCCCATCCCTGGCAGTGTTCAAGGACAGCTTGGATGGGGCTTTGAGCAACCTGGTCTAGTGAAAGGTGTCCCTGCCTGTGGCAGGGGGTTGGAACTAGATGAGGTTTAACGTCCTTTCCAACCCAAACCATTCTATGATTCTATGATTTTATGAGTAACTTCATTATACTTGCTTTCTCCAGAGTGTTTATGTGTATCTCTGTGTGAAAACATTGATGCAAGTTGAATGGTTGGTTAAGATAAATTCTAGGACCCTTCTTCAGGTATCTCAAAATTTCTCATTTTACAAAAGGATCTATAAGAAGGAACTGTAGATCTGTATTCCATGATTTTTGCTTGCTTACTTATTCCAAAGTGGATAGTTTACAAACTGAGGACACAGCAGAGTTCAGGTTTGGGTTGCATTATGTGCTCAAACTTGTGACTCCGAACAAGTAGTCAGGCTTTTCTGTAGAGATTGTACAGAACAATGGAATTAAAGTCAACATCTCAGGTTTATAATGAATTCTTCATGAGGAATTACCTACCCACCCATGAACTGTCTGTGCCTTGAGACCACTTTCTGGAGAGAAATACCAGTTATAGGTCCTCTGTGATAATGTGAAGATCTGAGATGAAGGAAATGTTAACAGGGATTTTCACATGGGCAGTGTGAATATAAAAGCCTTTTGGTTAACTAGACATTTGGTATCTTTATAGGGCAGACTGTGACTCAAATGTAGCTGTGAGCACTCTTCAGGAGAGAAATTTTTGGCTTAGATTTTCCCCTCCTTTCACTATAAAGTGCAACAAAATCCTTCTGACAAATGATATTAGAATACCATTGCATCCAAGTCTTCATTAATGACCCCTTTCAGTACTGAGATTTGCTCACCATTCTTCCAAATATACTCAAAATATCAGTGACCTAATGCCTTATGGCTTTGAACTTGTTCCTGCCTGCCCTGGGGAAGGGGTTTAGTTAACAGAGAGTTGAGGATAAAGTTCTGAGGTCCTCCCTAGATGTGTCTGCATAATAGAAATGGGCCTAGCTGATACAAATGTGGAGGCAGGTTAGCTTTATTAGAAAATAATAGAAGGAAATAACACATAAAGAGAATTAGAAACACTTGATCACCATTAAGTATCAGCCATGATATTTCACAGACACAGTGATTGCTAATATATTGCTAAGTGCCATGTAATTTCAAATATCAGGTAAATAATTAATTCTATTGAAATTTCGATTGAAATTCCTGAATTACAGGTTACTTGAAAAGAAGATTATTAAAGCCGAACAGAATATAATAGGATCATACACTGTCATTGGTGACTCTTAATGGATGTGTGTGGACTCTCAGACATCTTATTAATAAATCCTTTATATGTTTTATTAATGATATTAAAATAGTCAGGATATTTTATTAATAATATTATTAATAGTACTACTCTAGACTCTCAGAAATTATGAGATACATTAAAAAGGGAATGTCTATTAATTGTGGGCAAAATATAATGACAGGTTTTTATTGTTGGATTTACAGGGTGTACGCATGTGGTCTCAAATAACTCATTAGTAAGTAGTATTCTTCCAGATAACCTTAATGAACACCTGATAGTGATATGTATTGTTAATTTGAATTCTGGTTTTGGTTATGTTTAATGGGCCTTCCTCTTAGTGCTCACAAAAACATTTGTAAATGTGTTATTGTTTATCCATTTAGTTAATAGCTGCTCTTTCTGTATATACTCATGTTTGTATGTGAATGTGGGCATTGATGAAAATGGAATATCTTACACTTGTTATCCTTTGCTGAAATTATAACCAAATTATGTGGAGCACAGAAAAACCCCTGTGTGATCTAAAGGACCAGCTGTACAGCACAAAGCTCCTGGCTTCACTGGAATTTGACTGGTGGTCAGATTTTGCCCTGGAAAGCTGTCAATTTTACCCAGAGTAAATGAAATCTAGAGTCAGGAAGATATTTGTGAAGAACAGTTTGAACTAATGAAATATATTCAGGAACCATTGGCTAAAAAAAAAAAAAGAGAAGTGATAATGAATCAGATTGACTGATTTTATCAGCTCTATTGAACAGGATCAATTTCAAAGGAGTGATAAAGTATCCCCACCCATGCAGGCAATCAAGGTATTGCTTATGCACTGACCCATTTGGAAATGCTGGAGTACTTACCGTAATTACAGGTGAGAATTTCCAAGACTTCTCTCAAATCTATTGCACTTCTGAAACCTTGCATAGTTCAAGGCTATAAAAACTGTCAACTCACCTTTGTGGGCAAGGGAGCCCAGATCAGCTCTTACCTGCTTTGTTTGGCTGAGCCATTTTAGGCGCTATTTAAGGCCACCAGAAAAAATGAGCTACACAGTCTAATCCACTGCAAAATAGCAAGACGATCAAAAGAGTCCACTGTCAGCCTTACTATACAGTAACCCCTTTCCAATATAGGTATCATGAATTAGGTCAGTTATGAGTTCGTTCTAAGGAATGGCACTGGTTAAAGTAATTTAAGACCTCATAGCAGCCTTCCACTGTCTGAAGGGTGCCTACAAAGATGCTGGGGAGGTACTCTTCATTAGGGACTGTGGTGATAGGACAAGGGATAATGGGTTAAAACTTAAACAGGGGAAGTTTAGATTGGATATAAGGAAGTTCTTTACTGTGAGGGTGGTGAGGCACTGGAATGGGTTGCCCAGGGAAGTTGTGAATGCTCCATCCCTGGCAGTGTTCAAGGCCAGCTTGGACAGAGCCTTGGGTGACATGGTTTAGTGTGAGGTGTCCCTGCCCATGGCAGGGCGGTTGGAACTGGGTGATCCATTCTGGGTAATGTGTGATCCATTCTGCTGATTTCTGAGCTTCTTTCTATTTAAAAAAGAAAACAAACCCTAAAGTCACCAAAACTGTGGTGACAAACAGCCTATGGGTTAGATTTATTGTTTTGAAAATCAGACTGAGCCAATAAATTGCTGGATTTGGGTCTGTGATCTGCTACACTCATACATTCCTGATCAAAGCACAGATAAAATACTTCCTAATCAGAATAGTCAGGTTTTGAAGTTACAGGTTTAAAAAGACATAAAGGAGATGCTCATTCAGGTGTAGCCTAAAGCTAGTATAAATGCTTTTCTATATATATATAATAAATGAAATTTTTAAATTCTTTAATTCTCCAGCTTGTCAGTCACTGCAAATCACGACCAATTCTTCACTCTGTCAGTCTACCTCCACAATACTGTGCTATAAATTTTGCTCAGGAATAGAAAATGCATTAACCTTTGTGACGTCTGGTGCTTTGTTGACTTAAAGAAATAAGGCCAAGCACAGTTTTACTGATGTCAAGAGACTGACAATGATGAGAAGAAGTTGCACAAACCTTTAAGACTTTAAAATCTATCAAATTTCTTTTTTTCTTTTCTTTTTCTTTTTTTTTTTTTTTCCCTATATACCTTATCTAGTAGTTCAATTGCCTCATGGATTTGACTCATCCCTTTTTCCAGCCAGGGAGACAGCTTCTTCTCATGTGTTTCAGCTCAAAAATCTTCTTTCCCTTCATTTATTCTTCTGCGCTTTTGAATTTGAATGTTTTCTGCATACATAACCTGTCTGCAGTTCTTGATCTCAGGCATAGGAGCCTACAATTCTCCATTCCCTAAAAAAAGGTGAGTACATTAAGGCATTCTTCAACCCTAACTGTTCTATGATTCTATGGTTCTTCATTCAATTATACCACTCTGCTGCAGCAGCTATACTTACAGTATGGATCCTGAAAACCAGCTGCAATTTCTCTTGCAAGATAACCCAAATCCAGCTGCTGGCCACAAGACTGATAAATCTCCATCATTCTGGGAGTCATGGTGTGATATTCTAGATAGCAATTGTTTTTCCTTTGAGCAATGTGTCCACATCTCATTTGTTTGTTTGGTTTGTTCCAAGTCACATTCAAAAGTCCACACCAGAATGTCTCACTGAAGAGCAATGATCATTCTGCTATGAGCAGTGAATAAAAGAAGATGGTCTTACGTTTATGAGTATTTGCATGAGTAATAGAGAAGGCTGCGTGGAGACCTCATAGCAGCCTTCCAGTATCTGAAGGGGGCATATAGGGACGCTGGGGTTGGACCCTTCATTAGGGACTGTAGTGGTAGGACAAGGGGTAATGGGTTAAAACTTAAACAGGGGAAGTTTAGATTGGATATAAGGAGGAAATTCTTTCCTGTTAGGGTGGTGAGGCACTGGAATGGGTTGGCCAGGGATGTTGTGAATGCTCCATCCCTGGCAGTGTTCAAGGCCAGGTTGGACGAGGCCTTGAGTGATATGGTTTAGAGCGAGGTGTCTCTGCCCATGGCAGGGGGGTTGGAACTTGATGATCTTAAGGTCCTTTCCAACCCTCACTATTCTAACATGTCTACTAACGCAATGAGGGAAGCTATCCACTAATAATGACAACAGAGGCAGCTTACCACTCTTACACTGGTTTGTGCATCAGTGTGATCATGCAGCCATTCATTCCCTAAGATCCCTTCCTGCCATCCTTTGCCTTGCCTGAAAAGCAAAAGTTGACTTTGTTAATTTACGATACTTATTTGCATGCTAAAACTGATTCTGCATGTTGTGCAGAGAATTCCAAGGTCATTATAGTCAGCTCATACTAGAATGGATAACTGTAAAACAGGATCTCTAGCTGTATATTCTCAATAGTACGTAATTTGTGCTGCAGCTCATTTGGGAGGAACCTGAATTGCTTAAATTTGAGAGCAGATGATGCATTTAGAAAATGTTATGCTTATGCAGCTTGTACAATATGAAATGTGGAACCCTTTTAATATGAGCATAGTTAATAGAGATCATATAGCTTGTCATCAAGTTGTCTTAAACAGAATGTAAGACATTTTTGAAAAACAATGAATTTAGAGAATGCATTCTTGCAGCCAAGTAATACTGTGTTGCCCTTGCTAGTAATAGATCACAGGCTTTGCACTGAGTTTGTAAGGCTGTGGGACTGAAGCTCATCAGGCTTAGTTTGTCTGAACTTGTCCTGATCTGACTATAGCTTTGTTCTAACTTGGTTTAATTGCATAGGGTACAGACAGGTAGTGCAAACTCCAACAACGTAAACAACTCAGTCATGAAGTTCAGATCAAGACCTGGACAAAACTGGACTGAAGGATAACAAAGAGAACAAGTATGCAACCTCCACAAAACTGCATTTCTGTATTAAATTTGCATGTAATACAAACTTGGCAGCCAATGAAGGAAAAGCAAGTTGTGAAAGAGTGCTAGCAAACAAAAACCCACCCCAAGCAAGTCCGAAGCAGGAAGAAGTCACTACCATTAGCATCATACTCCTCCCAGTGAGGAACCTGGGATTCTCTATGCCCTTCTACTCTCCTGTGACCAGACAGAAGCCATGAACTCCAGTTATTATTTGATATAGACTAATAATAACTTTTTGATTAGCCTGTTAAGATTTCAATTATAGTAACAATAAGTTCTTGTCTTTACATACAGATTGCTTTTCTCCTTTCTCATAATAGAATTTTTGAACTTATCACCTAATTATATACTCTTTCTTAAATTTCTGCATAACTTTATATGCAGAAAAATATAGCAGTTTATAGTCTTAGAATCATAGAATAATAGAATAGTTTGGGTTGAAAAGAACCTTAAGATCATCCAGTTCCAACCCCCCTGCCATGGACAGGGACGCCTTCCACTAAACCATGTCACACAAGGCTCTGTGCCTTGAACAGTGCAAGGGATGGAGCATTTACCACTTCCTTGGGCAACCCATTTCAGTGCCTCACCACCCTTACAGGAAAGAACTTCTTCCTTATATCTAACCTAAACTTCCTATTTTAGTTTGACCCCATTATCCCTTGTCCTATCGCTACAGCCTCTGATGAAGAGTCCCTCCCCAGCATCCTTATAGGCCCCCTTCAGATACTGGAAGTCTGCTCTGTGGTCTCCACGCAGCCTTCTCTTCTCCTGGCTGAACAGCCCCAACTTTATCAGCCTGTTTTTGTATGGGAGGTGCTCCAGTCCCCTGATCATCCCCATGGCCTCCTCTGGACTTGTTCCAACAGATCCATGTCCTTTTTATGTTGAGGACACCAGAACTGCACACAATACTCCAAGTGAGGTCTCACGAGAGCAGAATAAAGGGGCAGGATCACCTCCTTCGACCTGCTGGTCACGCTCTTTTTGATGCAGCCCAGGATACGGTTGGCTTTCTGGGCTGCAAGCACACACTGAAGCAGGCTCATGTTCATTTTCTTATTGACCAGCACCCCCAAGTCCTTCTCCTCAGGGCTGCTCTGAATCTCTTCTCTGCCCAGCCTGTAGCTGTGCCTGGGATTGCTCCGACCCAGGTGTAGGACCTTGCACTTGGCTTGGTTAAACTTCATGAGGCTGGCATTGGCCACCTCTCAAACGTGTCAAGATCCCTCTTGATGGCATCCCTTCCCCTCCTTAGTCTTTCACTCTCAACCCACAACACAACTCCACAAGCATTTCTATGCATTCAAATTGGTATTCAGAGGAAGAGATCTATAAAGTACCTCCACCTGAGCTATGTACCTTATGTCCTCTTTTGTCCTTACAGACAACAAAGTGAAATAAACTTTTTCTAAGTTCAAACAATCCAATCAGTTTTATTAGTCACAATGATATGATGAATCCCATACAAGTATTTCACTGAACACAGTCACAGACATCTGACAGCTTTCTGTCTGCTGTCTGGTTGGCCGTTGCCTCTGGCTTCCCCCAGCATTACCAGAAGTTACTAATATTGCGGTTTCATCTATCCTAAGTTTTCTGCCCATTTCTTCCTCCTGCCTGTAGGGTTATGTAGGTAAACATGTCACTCCAGTTTTGGCATGTAAGATGCTGGTTCAAAGTTGACCTCCAAGACTGCTCACACCACCAGCCATCCTAACGTAATCAGACTTTTATCCAGCTTTCTTGGCCGTGTAGTTCCTATGTGTATGCCAAGAGAATATAAAGTCAGGTTGAAAGTGTTAATGAAGGTGCATTCTGTGTTATTTCTTCTCAGTTTAAGCATATGCTCTAGCATGGGAAATGATTTTGCACCATCTCTGTTGCTGGCACTGAATTTCACTCTTTAGTTCTACTTTAAAGGAAAAGAAGGGGGAAAATCTTCAAACACAAACCATACACAGTTAGGAATGGGAGAGGTTTTCAGCCAGGAATATTTATTTTTAGCCCTGCATCTGTGCTGTATGATTCTCACACACATATACTTGAAGAGAATTATAATAAAAATGCCTCTATGTGGCTGATTGCTGTTGGCTCTCCCTGGGAACTGAGGGCACTCAGCCTCTTTGTGTAGTTGGAGCAGTCCAAGACACCCCAGGAATGGAGAGCTTTTAAATTTACAGTCTTCTATCG